GGGGGTCTACAATTTAGGCATGAGACCTGTTAAAACATATAATCGGATCAAGAGACGGTAAAACTCATGAAGCAATGTACTGTCTACAAGACAAACTAAATACTGCAGGGTATCAGCAGTCTTTTACACAATCTTTCAGAAGTTCATAGTGCCTATTCTATCACAGCCATGACCAAGTATAAAAAGGATGCAACTACAATAGTTGAATGTTTTTCATGTGAGAAGTGAACAGATAGTGGTAAGCAAATAAAGCTAGGCCACTGACAGCAAATACCCTGCCACGAACTTGAAGCAATAACAAAAAAAAGGACAACGAGAACACTGACCTGTTTGGTTCTGCAAGCAATGCGCGCTGTTCAGGCATTTTATCAAAATCAGATCTTCCATCATTCATAGTATAGCTGTATCACAACAACAGTAAGGGATATTAAACTAGTCAAATCTGCACAATAAAGAGCTTATGTTTCCAACAAAACAGCATCACCAGCAGAAGCCATCGTCAAATTTGCAAGTAAAAAGTGGGGTAATTACAGAGAACAGGAAAATACTATCTTATACTATTAGTTAAACGAGCATTTTCTGCATATACCAAAAGGGAGAAGAGTTGCTCTACTTAAATCCCGAAATCAAGAATGAACAATAATAAATGCTTGATTATGCATGCCAAACAAAATCCATCAGTCAGAGAGAAAAAATGTCAATACAAGCCAGACAGTATCCCTGCTAGGGGTTGTCAGTATCGGGAATGATTTGCCATGAAAATTGCCACAATCAAGTTATAGTTTTCTAGAGCGGTATGGTATGGTCAGAATGATTCACATACAAAACATCATCCAAATGATCCAATTATTCCAAATTTAGCCTTCCCCATTTCTCCAATAACGGGACAAAGTAGGACAATACTACTAGCGACTGGTTAGAATTAGATGCACCCCACTAATATGTCCACTGTGCCAGATCAGTAAAGGGAGCCTGTGCGAGATGTGCCCCTGCACAGAGCCCCCAAATATCTAGGGCCCCCAATTTGTTTATACGTTCTATACTTATTAAAAATAATTATGAGATTAGTCATGAATTGAAGGATTATGCAATAAATACATGAGTTTTACTACTGTGTATCTGAACACCGCATGCAAGCCTCTCCATTTTCATCTCGTCCAATCTCAGCTGCACATTTCTCTTCTAATTGCAGCGCACCATGCTCTTCCTCTTTCAATCACATGTGTAGCAAGCAGCATCCATGTGAAATTAACTACAACTTCAATTTTCTTCATAGTAGTACACCTTTTGACTAATATTTTCTTCATAATTTAAAAGGGCAGCCCGGTGCACGCAGATCCCGCTTGCGCAGGATCCAGGCAAGGGACCGACCACTTTGGGTCTTTTCAAGTGCTATAATTTCTCCAAAACATATCTAAACTTAAAATTTTGAGTACATACTTATGTTCTACAACGACACAAGATATACTTAGTGGATTGGCTATTATAGCACTTGAAAATGAAGTTTAAGAGTATAACTGAAGAGGAATGATATAATGATGGAGGGGCAGGCCTGGCACAGTGGTAGAGTCTCTCCACTTGTGGCCTGGAAGCCCTGGGTTCGAACCAGACTCCTTGCAGAATTAAAGGGTAAGGCTGTCTAGAAATTCCCTTCCCCAGACCCCACCTTGTGTGGGAGCTTTCAGCACTGGGTATGCCCTTAATGATAAAATGGTGACGCATTTATGCTACTCGCTTAATGCTCGTGTGTTGCTATTGAAGTTACTTTTTGTTATATATTATCAGTTGTTTAAACACTTGTGCCACCATAGTCCCAGAGTGGCTGAGTATGTGTAAAATGTAAAAAATTATCTCAAAACATACATCAGTTGAATCAACCAATAGTCCTCCATAGAATGGATGACAGCTGTGGTAATTCGAATTAATTTGAGACGTGAATACAGTACACTGCCACCAACTCAGATCTTTATAAGAGTAAAAATAAAGAAAATATAAATTTGTAGGTAATGATTCCAAAATTTTATATTTGACAGTTGTAGCTCTTAGAACAATTATTAGTGGTATGATATGAAAATAAAACTTTTCACCGGGCTCTCAGGTACGGCCCTGAACTGTGCAACTCCTTTTAACATATAAATGTAGCTATTCATGTGTAATGAAACACATGAGATAAAACTTCTGGATGAATTGATATTAGAGTGGACAAGTATTATTACCTTGGCTGAGCACCCTGGGGAACAACCGGCTTATATGCCATCTCCCTCTGAATTGCAAGATTCTGAAGTTTCCTGAATTCCTCCATCGTCGCAGCAAAATCTTTGGCAAGCTTCATGTCAGCTACCCGCTTGTCTGCCTGCAGGTGACACCCAAATTCATTAGCTTATTTGTTTAAAGGGCCTCATCCAGGCAGAAGTACTGAATCTTGATCTAAAAGAAGGGAATATAATCGTAGAAAGGTGGTGAAATATTACTGACACTAGTTCCAGTGCTCTTGTCTGCTTCAGCAGCACTCGTCAGCTTCTCCTTCGCATCCTTCGCCAATTGCAGGACTTTATGACTAGTCTTCTGCCTGCGAGGAAATCGTTGCGGCGCACAGTAATTCAGAAAGTGACACCAGCATGCCGTGAAGGCATTAGCCCCCTCGATCCTAGTACCAGTTAGAGCACAAACTATGTGCTCCTAACTTGAAATGGGCAAAATTGTTCCAAATAACTAGCGCACGATGAAATTACGCGAGCGAGAGGAGAGGGGGTCGAGGACAGACAGCTGATCACGGAGGGCGGGCGTGTCCTTGGGCGTGCCGAGCGAGTTGAGGAGGCGGCGGTAGGAGGACACCGCGGTGGTGATCTGGAAGACGAGCGCGCGCGTGGCGTCGGCGCCCCTCCCCCTCCGGGGCGCCTGCAGCGCCCCGGACTCCAGATCCGCGAAGCTCATCGCCGATCCCTCCCGCCCTCGCGCGCCGGCCGATGCCCGCCGTCGGGCCCGTCCACTCGGTCACGCCGTGCGGCGAAAGGTGGCGGGGGCGGTCGGCCGGACTCGCCGGAGCGTAGCGGGGTACGGTAAGGGCAGCAGGGGTCGCCGTCGGTCGCCACCGGCCACGCAGTGAGGTGCGCCAGTTTCTTTATTATTCCATGGGATGGATTGGCTGTTGTTGCGATCAAATTGATTGATGGGAGTGGGGGTGATGGGGCAGCACGAGGTGCCACGAACTGGAACAGGCGTCGCGGGCTCGATCCACGCCCGGAATTTGGGAGGAGCGCTTGGCATCGACCGCACCGCACCCCCCGGTCGCGGTCGCACCGCACCGGCATGGGTCCAGCCGGGGCCCCGAGGACGAGCAGGTCGGCCGGAGCGCCGAAACACGATAACGAATTATCGTCACCGTCTAAGGTCTAAAAGATCTTATATTGATTTATAGAGGGAGTACCTCTTTAATATTGTTTGGCAACGGAGGGTTATAGAAAAAATCTCTATCACGACTAGCCAATCTGAAATGGCAGGTTCTTTATGATGAAACCAGCCCATTAGATTTTGTAGCAAATTTATCTTCATAAGCATCATTCATATCGTCATGACATAAACATAGCAAACGTCAAGTTCATCAAAAAAGATATTTCAAACGAATTCAAGGGATCAAAGCATTCATCCTTGGGTAAGCATAAAGGAAAATTAAATAATGTATGGGATAAAGATTTATTCTTCTTAGAATATGCGCACGGGTGATCAATCCACTTTTTCTCCTTTTATTCTTCATTCTCCCCCTCATCTTTTCATTTAATGAGCTCGTAGTTTCAGCAATTTCTTTTCCATAGGAGTTTGCAAAACATTAATCTCTTTCAAGACAGCATGCATCTTTCAATAAATTCTTTAATATAAACATTAGAAGTATAGTTTTGAGAATAATAATTAAGTATGGAAAATTTTCAGATTTGTAAAGGGTACCACCACACTTTTTAAGCAAAGCAAAGACTCAATTTCATAGGCACCCTTAAAGGCAAAAAAATCTTCAATTTGTTTGACATCATAATAGTTATAAATACCATTAACATAAGAAAGTCGAGATTTCATTACTATTAAACTTACAATACATTGGTAGGAAAAGTGTTTAGGGTCCTCAGAACAACAAGTAAAATCATGTAAGAGCATAAATTCCAAACGATGTATTTGATCAGTGTTTTCTTTTTTGAGACAAGCGGTAACACGCAAGATAAGCATGCTCATCTAATGATTTTTCCTCAACTAAGTTAGTTGGGTTTTCAACATGGCACAAACGAAGCGAGGATGATCCAAGTAGAAAGCTTGGACAGTAAAGATTATAGGTGGTTCCTCAACCATTAGGTTAGCAAGTACAACTATTTTTTTGGTATTTTACATTTCATACCCATAACTAGAGATAGAAACAAGAGGATAAAGTAAAATCTACTTAGAGATAAAGTCAACAAGCACATATGAGAATACTCACCCCACACTATTGCTCCCTGTCGGTGTCAAAACCGGCGAATCTCGGGTAGGGGATCCCGAACTGTGCGTCTAGACCGGATGGTAACAGGAGGCAAGGAACACGATGTTTTACCCAGGTTCGGGCCCTCTTGATGGAGGTAAAACCCTACGTCCTGCTTGATTAATATTGATGATATGGGTAGTACAAGAGTAGATCTACCACGAGATCAAGGAGGCTAAACCCTAAAAGCTAGCCTATGGTATGATTGTTGTATGATGGAGTTGTCCTACGGACTAAAACCCTCCGGTTTATATAGACACAGGAGAGGGTTAGGGTTACACAAAGTCGGTTACAATGGTAGGAGATCTTGAATATCCGCATCGCCAAGCTTGCCTTCCACGCCAAGGAAAGTCCCATCCGGACACGGGACGAAGTCTTTAATCTTGTATCTTCATAGTCCTGGAGTCCGGCTGAAGGTATAGTCCGGCTACCCGAACACCCCCTAATCCAGGACTCCCTCAGTAGCCCCTGAACCAGGCTTCAATGACGACGAGTCCGGCGCGTAGATTGTCTTCGACATTGCAAGGCGGGTTCCTCCTCCAAATTCTTCATAAAAGTTTGTAAACACTAAGAGTAGTGTCCGGCCCTGCAAAATAAGTGTCCATGTATTGCCACAGAGAGAATAATATTAACACAAATCTAATCTGCTGACGTATTCCGCAGCGTGACATCACACTACGGCCAAGCCTTTATTCGAATCGTTTTCATTTTTCCACCTCAGCGTGTTTTGCGAGGCGGTTTCCTTGGCACGTCTTGTCAAAGCAGAGATCGTGTCCTCCATTTACGGGATTCTCATCAATACTGTAACGCCCGAATAATCTTGCTACAGTAATCCCATGCTAATCATGCCATGTCATCCCGATTACTGTTACTAAACGTCCGTTAGTTCAAACCGCGTCAAATTCAAATTTAAAATTAAAATTAATGTCGGCAATAAAAGTTTCCAAAATTTGAAACAAAAATGTTCGGTGGTTGCCAAATATTACAAAGGTAATTATGTTGCAGCAAACACATTTTTATAAAATGTCTAAATAATTTAAAAGGTTTAAAAGCAGAAATGCAAATAGATAAAAAAAGGCAAAGCAACCCCCCCCCCTCTCACTGGG